AGTGTGCATACAACCTACTTTTCATAAGGATAACATATCTAATGTCCTCATGTTCATATGACTTTTTATGTTCCTACCTTTATATATGTTTATACTGGGATCATAATTCTATGAAGTTAACACCCTGTTTTCTTTACCCTCTGGGAAATTCTCTGGTGCGTGTGGCTGAACCCTTAGTCAGTGAACAAGAACAAGATGATGCTGATGCAAAGCGGTAAAGGGTGAAGCATACATAGTTGCCAAGAGCACGTTTGTATAGAACTAAGATTGGTGCTAGAACGCGACAGCAGCCATTCTTGCAGTGGGACCAGGCCCCTCCCTCAGGGCGAGCGCCCATCGTACCCACTCGGGCTGCCCCGGGCACGCAGACACTGGGATGGCAGAAAGGCCAGGTGCCGGCCCTCAGGAAGCTTTGGTCTCCACCACTGCCTTGGGTTCTTTAGAAATAACTGCCCCTGTTGCCTATGGCTTACCTCAGAGCTATTCCTTCCTGTCAGTCTATGAGCTAATCCTCTTGACTATCTGATTGGTCCCCAGGTAGAGCAGATAGTGTTAACCGGGTTGGGAGTCAAACCACCCACCATCGGCCTAGTGGAACCCACTGGCAGGACCCTTTAGCCATTAGCACAGGCAACACTGCATCCTAAGGCGTCTGTCCTCGGTCTGTACCTGCCTGAGGCAATGCAGTCTCTAGACTGTATTTGCATGCTTCTAAGTGAGACTAAAAAAAAAGCAGCCAAAGATGGGGCAAAACCCTAAGCCATCTTTCCATGGTTACGAACCCAGGGGAGTCAGTTCACTTAAGCTCTCTGCACAGCTAACATTTGAGAATGTGAAAAGCAAAGCTACAGCCTTCCTTTTGCGGATTCCGTGGTCTCCTGAAGAACTGTGACCAGTTCTGCACTGTCCATGATTTTTAGCAAATATGTTAAATGCAGAAAACAATCCTTGCTTTTCGCTAGACTGAGTTGGTGTGTCTCAGTTTTTCCTAACCAGCTGATCCCCTAAGAGATTAATTTTAGTTCCACGAACATTATCCAGGTCTGTTTCTTTCACACTACTTCCCACCCTCTACCCCCACAGAGACTGATTGCCAGGAAGGCTTTGGAAGTGGAGGGTTCTGGAGCCTGAGGATTGATTACTGGTTTCAAGAGTGAGGATACAGCCTAGCTTAGTGGTCAAGAGCATGACCTCTGGCAGGAGCCTGCCTGGGTTCAAATCGAGGTGCCCCTGTTTACCAGCGGTGGCGCTAAAAGCATGTTGGAGCATATCCTATTTTCTGAGTGCTATTTTAGGCCCTGAGGATAAAACAATGAGTAAGAGACAATGCCTTCCTCAGTGGCCATAAACTCTGGTGTGGAAGACAGGAAACCGCTGATCACAAGTCAGCATGCGGAGGGAATGAGTGGTCTATTTCTCATTAACAAACCAGTTAGTAGCAGTGAGAAAGAACACTATAGGCAGGCAAATGCAAGAAATACTCGTGAGGCCATTTTATGAAATAGACTGTGCCGTGGAAAACTAGGAGTGAATGGTAACGCCGCCTTGATTCTCATTCATGAGTTTCAAATTCAATTAACAATACAAAAATAACATTGTTAAACATTTAAAACCTTTATTGTTTACTCTGTGCCAAGCATGGTTCTAGGAAGTACTTTAGATGTTTTAACCCATTTAATGCATACAAGAAACAGAGGTGAATACTACTTCTTTTCCACACATTATGACAAGAGAATAATAATAATAAAGACAGAGACTGAGAAAGCTGCCCAGTGTTACAGAGCTAGTAAGCACTGGAACAAGGATTGAAACTAACGGTATAGGTTTAGAGCCAGTGATTTTAACCAATACGCTACCTTGTTTTGACCAGAGGGACTTCGCCCATTAACAAATAGCCGATATTACACCCCAGCTACCACTGCCCTCATTATGCCAGACCCTGGTTTGCTTTATACCCAAAGTGTCATTTACCCTCAGTAAGGCCCAAAAGCCCAGTTACTCCTCACTAAATGAGGCAAATGATGCAGCAGTCTGACCTAATGAAAACCCTTGGGCTTGTTGTTAAGAAAGGAAAAAGAGGGATAAGGGAGGCAAAAGAGAAGGAAGGGGAGGACGAAGAGAAAAAAATGTTCCTGGTAAGTCGTTTGATTTCTTTTTTTAATGATTTTATTTATTTATTTTTAGAGAGCGGGAAAGGGAGGGAAAAAGAGAGGGAGAGAAACGTCAGTTGGCTCCCTCTTGCAAGCCCCCAACCGCAGACCTGGCCCGCAACCCAGGCATGTGCCCTGACTGGGAATTGAACGGGCGACCTTTCCATTTGCGGGACAACGCCCAAATCACTGAGCCACACCAGCCAGGGCTCCCAGTAAGTCTTTAAGCTATTCAAGGTGAGCTCAGAAAAGGAGCCAGGAAAAAAAAAATCAGCTGGAGAAAACATAAAACTTTACAGTAATAAAGCCCATAGGTAAGAGAGTGACAGAGCTAGACACAACATCAAGTTGACCTCATCAAAGGAAACCAACGTGACTAAATTTTACTTCTTCTGAAGAGCCCACAGCCTCGCATTAACCCCTGTTAATTTTTAGAACAGCAGGAGTAGGAGATGGGAGCATGATGGGTCACTTTTGGTGACTTTGAATTTAAAGTGCCTGTGAGACATTCCAACAGACATGTTCACCAGGCAGCCGGATATGCAAGTCTGGAGCTCAAGGACGAGGTCTGGCCGGACCCCAAATCTCCAGCTCCAGCCAGGATACTACGCCGCCTCCCTCTGCTTTTGGCATATTCCTTCAGGAGAAACAGTAAGCCTTTCTTCAGTTTGGATCGCTAATTTCAGACATTTTAAAGTAAACTTAGCTCAGAGATCTTGGCTGATTTAGACTAAAATGAACCTGAGTGTTGGCATGCCCTCCCCAAAGGCTGTAAGAATTACAGTTGGCAGAGTGGGTGACCAGCCACGCATCTAGAGCTCCTCTCTGCCCACAGCCCAAGATTGCATGGCCGGTGGGCACTCGCTGCTTGCCTTGCCCTTCACCTGGTTAGTAACAAAAGCATCGTTTACCCTGCCTGCTCTCCAGGACATGCCAAAGAGAAAAAGTGTTAGAAACTTCACGTGGCATTCGCCCAACTCTGCCAATTCCTGCTGAGATGTGTATCTCATGGATGACCAAACGGTGGCAGGTTACATTATAATAATATCAGCAAAGGCCATTTGTCACAGTTTATGTTTCATAACACCATTCAGTACTTATATTTCAACATCATTTAACATTCAATTTTTTAAAAAATAGAGAATTAAAAAAGAATCATCATAACTGTAATATACTAAAGAGAGAACCTAAAGTAGGTCTGGTTCTTGCATCTGCTAAACAAACAATATAGGAAAAATAAAACTGGAACGATGACACTCTCTTAACTTTGGCTGTACCAGAGATTGGGAATGGCTATGAAGGTGCGTGAAAAATCTGTGTGAACTCTGAGAAGCCAAAAAACAACAGAGGTTATTGGCTAATCAAAGGAGTACACCTATTTGGGCTCAAGGTGGAGCTCTCATTCTGCCAGGCTGTGGGGGGGGTGGGGGGTGGGGAGGTGGTAATGGAGGTGGCAGTCACTACAACTTGTTTGTCACCTATTAACCCATCAGTTGCCGAGTCTTGTGCTTTAAAATGTCCTTTTCTTTTTACTCTCATGGTCACCACCCTCGACGTTACAGAAGGCTAATGAAACTCTAGGGGAAAAAACAAGGAATCACAAGCCAAAAATTTGCGTGGAAAATCCAGCCTTTGAAAAGGCTGGACTTGAATTGGATATGAAAACAATGCAGCACCTTACAAGGAACGCTGCCTTTCCTGAACAGACACACTAAATCACAACCTTGCCTCAAGTTACATTTATAAACTAAGCTTTATTAATGAAAATGTTAAATGTACCAATGGAATACCAAGCAATGGTAGAGACTGGAGTAACACTAAAATAGCAGTTAAGTACATAAATTAGTCTCCCCAGGTAATGGAGCAGAAGTTATCTATATGAAGGGTTAAGCAGGGTCATTGAAGAATCGTAGGTAGTAAAAATGGAGAGCCTGTACAGAAGAGGTCATTTGAAGGAAAATGCTGAGGGAAAGAGAAACGGCTTGTCACAGAAGAGACAAAGTCCATGTGTGAGTGCATAGGTATATTTATGTAGCATACAGTATATAAGTGCAGGTATGTGTAGCAAGTATGAGAAGAAATCAAGGTCCTACCATGAGGTCCTAATGAACCTCTCCAGCCTTTGCCTCCCACTACCTGCCATGGGATCCTTGGCCCCTCTTGCAAGGGTAGACTTGCTCTTCCCTGGAACTCCCCTCTCTTCACCTTTGTTCACCTCTAATTCTGACCAGGTGTTCTACACTGAGATTCTTTCTGCATCTTAGTCCAGCCCAGGATGTCTTCTCCTTCTTCTATGCTTTTACAGTTACAGTCCCTCCCTCATCCAAAGAAGTCTGACAAGGTGGAATAGAACCCAAGTTCCTTCCCTCATAGACATTTCAGGTGATCATCTACTTTCCCTCACTACTGGGTACCTCACGGAGTCTCTGTGAGTGTCAATCCCCTCGGCTAACGGAGTTCTTTAGGGCAGCGATGGTGTCTTCACACACCCTTAAATCTTTCATAGCACAAGGCTATGCCTAACGTGTGATCCAATGAACACCGATGGATGTAAATAAGCAGGATCATGCAATGTGCAAAGTGAAAATGCTACATTAATGATGAGCATTCTGATTCTAACATACAAGTCTAGGAAGGATTAACCAGAGCTGTCTTTTCACTCAGTACTGCCTAGCCTATGAAGATAATAAGGCTGTGAGATAAGGTAAAGTGTGAAAGCAAATAAAAGAAGATGCTCAAGTAAGCATAGCCAGACATGGATACTGGAGAATAAGATTCTCATGAGACAAATGTAAAGACACCAAGGGAAATCAACAACTGTCCAACAGCAATCAGATGTGAAAAACATACCAGTATTTCCTTGAGCATCTTCTATCTTGTTTGGCAAGGGCGACAGAAGAGACGGCCTGGGGAAGTGAGGGCCCTGAAGAGGTGGCTGTTGCGGCTGCTGCTGCAAAGGCGTGGTCGTGAGGATGACCCTCCAGTCCACTTGGGTGACATCTGACCTCGATCGAGCATGGCCTGGCTTAAAAGTAGAGGTCTCATCCAATAAGTCATTCACGGAACGGGGTCTGTTCCTCCGACGCTGACAGATGTTGAAAAAATCAAAGGTTGATGCTTCCTTTTGTTCCATCCAGGAAAGGTTATCTGGGGTTGTCCCTTTCTGGACCATAAACTGTTCTTTGGCAGGGAAGACATTTTGAGCTTTGGTTTCTAAGAGTCTGGTCTTACAGTGGTCCCAAATCATGCCCCCCTTGCCCAGGGAAGCAACATTTCTGATAGCACCATTGTCTGTGATGTTACTGAGTACCTCGTGCCCCACCAGCTCAGGGACTTCCTGAATCCCGTACACCTCTGCTTGCTGCACAGCCTTGTCTAGCTTACTGTCGAAAGTACTAAAGAAATCCTCGGTAACTTCCAAGGCCGGGCTGATATCATCCACTTCCAAAGCTTCCATGTTGTGGGTTCTGGAGGCCTAAGCCTCCTAAGCTGGTTCAGGAAAGGGCTTCATGAGCCGTCACCCAACAAAGGGAGATGCTTTGGGCAGTAGAGTTCTGGGAACAACTGGAAGGAACCTCATTCGGCTGCCTGGAGCAGGCCAAGCACAAGGGTGGCTGATGTTTTCCCAGCTACGACAGGCATCTGTTCGCGGACAATGGCCATTAACAAAGGTGTCAGGAGGCGAATGTTCCTTTGAGATTATTCTTCAGTGAGGTCTCTGTAAAGACAACAGGAAGCACTTGTCAAAGCAATGCCACGGCAATCCTTAGTTTCCTGGAAGAAAATAAAAAGGACAACATTGACACACAGTTCAGTGTATTCTGCAGTACACAACCTGCCCGATTACTTCCCCATCTTCCCATCTCTTCTATGGCAGTCACGCCCACAGGTGGACGACACATGCACAGAAGTTCCACTGTCAAGAGTACACATCACTACCTGCTTTGTATTAGCACTCACACAGAGCAGAGTGGAACTCTTGATAAGGGGAATTAAGGTCAATAGCTTTTACTCACACAGAGAAGCCTTTGAGAGCAATGGTGAAAAGACTACCCTGGCAAATCTCTGTGATATGTTGACCTAAAATAGTAAGCAAAAGAGAGTAGGATTCTGTGACTGGGCCTCTATGGTAATCAGTCGGAAAGTCCTAAATGCATGAGTTCTTTCACAAACCTTGAAAGCACTGATAATTTGTAGAGAGGGAGAATCTGTCCTTGCACTACACCCGAATGAACCTGTGCTTGTGCTTCCTCGGTTTAGGCTACGCAGTGCCTAAAGATGGCCGGACTTCAGAACTCCTCCAGCTGTCCTGGGAAAGGCTGGGAGGAGTTGGCCTAGGAGCACAGGCGCGGCCTCTGGGCTGAGCAGAGAGAGTCCTGGCACTGACCCACTCTGAGCACTGGAAGATCTAGGCCAGGCCACACGAGAGCAGACCTTGATGGTGAGGCTGTCCCATACAGTAGAAACTAGCCATTAAGGGCTGTTTAAATGTATTAAAATCAAATAAAGTTCCTCAGCCATGCTAGCTACATTTCACATACTCTACAGCCACATATACCTGTGTATTTATGCCAAAAACAACTAGGCAAGGGCTTTATTTCCCCCGGACTACTTACAAACAGGTAAAACTAGGCAACTAGGAACACCTCTGCAAGCTACTGTAATAGAATATGGATGTGCTTTCTTTTTTTTTAAACTGCAATTTTTATGGTTAGTTAAAATCATTTTTAGCACTTAGGTCATTAAACATTTCAATCAACAGCACCAATCTACATTGCTTAATGTTTGTAAATAGGCTAGTACATACGGCCCTTTATATTAAATGTATCAAGGAGGTTTGGAGTTCACCAGAACTCTGTGGTTAACCTCTTGTAAAGTGATAATGACTGTGAATTTGTCTCCTTTTATACTTGGATATTATCATGTAAGCACTCATGAAACATGGCACAGACTGATATTTAGAGATGAAACCAGTTATAATACTTTTCTGGCTGCAAACAGGGTTTTGTTCTCTGTGTCTCCACGAGGGCGGGCACCTCCTGAACTGTACGGCAGGGCTGTGCTGCTTCTCTAATCCTGAAATTTTGGTTTTGTTTTCTTTTTTTTTTTTTAGTTTTATCTTGTATGTGAGAGGCTAAAAAAAAGAAATACATAATAAATCTTATAGCGTTTAGTTCTTTCTTTAGTGTAATTTCAAATAACACATATGTTTCCGATTTTATGGAAGCAGCATCAAGGTGCAGAACACTAAGTTATTCAGCTAAGATTATATTATGGATATTCCTCTTCTTACCCAGTGCTTAAAATTCAGCATCGAATTCTTTGGGTCATACTAGAGCATCAATACCTTCAAAGTGATTCTGTATTTTCCTTCTTTCCTTCCTTTTTTTTTTTTAAATCAAAATATCTAGGAGTATACTCTTTGTGTTCTCTGCTTGTGTTTTCACAGACTGGTGAGAAGCAAAGAACCACTGGTGGCCAGTTGTCTTGGGTTGTGCAACACTTCTGTTGTACACGTTCTAAAACCATAGACCTTTGTGATCATCCTTTCAACCCCAGCTCTCACAGAGCGACTCACTGAGGTCCAGGGAGAGCAAGAGGTGCCATGGACACTTCCCTGCATTGCCTCATTTAATCCTCATAAAAGGGTAGTAATAATGCAACTTTAAAACAATATTCCAATGCTATTTAACAAGGGAATCTGGAAATCACTCATCTATCCGTCCATTCATCATTTAATAAGTTTACATCATGATCAAGTCACTAAAGATGAAAAAATGAATAAGACACAGCTTTCTCCCTGAAGAAGTTCACGGTCTACTGTGATGCCCCTAAGAAAGTCAGTCCGAAAAGCTACCTTGCTAGAGGATGGTAACAGACATTAGAGCACATAGTAGAGCACAGAGGGACCAGGCATGTGAGTGAAGAAGCCATCTTGGATGAGGGCCCAGTCGAATTTTCCAACAATTCCAGCCCCAGTCAGTATCTAACTGCAACTCATGTGCAATCCCAAGCAAGACTTTTCCAGCTGAGCTCAGTTAGCCCAGAGACATGAGACAGAATACATTGTTTGGAGACACAAAATTTGGCAGTAGTTTGACACTCGGCAACCACTAATCAGGACTCATCACTTCCTTGGGGAAGTATTCTCTAGGTTAAAATCTGTGTTTAGGTTTCCATGGCACCTGAACTTCTGTAAGTTACACACATCACATTTGTAATTACCAGTTTCAATGTCAACATCCCCTCAGCCAGCAACTGCCTCTTTTGCTCACCCTTGGACCCCAGAACACAATTGCAGCTCAAAAAATATTTGTTGAATAAATGAGTGAATTTTTTTAGTGGCTATCTTTAGAATCACTTGACATTGTTTTCTTTTACTCCTTTTTCCTTTGTTGTCAGTACTTCTGGCTTATAGCCCTCTCTCCACATCACGATTATCTCCAGCAATAAACAATACAGACAGCTGCTGCTTTAACAGCCGTCCTCCCCCAAAAATCACTCCTTAGTGTAATAAATGAATGAACAGACCAGTGTGAGAAACCCAGTCTTTGCCTGTATTTGCACAGTACAAATTAAATAGCTAAAAGGAGTTACTGAGAGCAGCAGTAAGTTATTCATTCCTTGCATATTTTTTTGAGGCAGCTACTGTGCTCTAGGCACTGGTGATACAACAGTGAACAGAGTAAAGTCCTGCCCTCGTGGGACTGTACTCCAGCAGAGCACTTACTGTCAGGCACAGCTCTACGTGCTTTTGCTGTCCGGCCTCATGTGCTGAGGTACGGTGAGGGGGCTGAAGCGGCCTCCCTTGCCCTGCATGGATCCCATCCATCCCATCCCAAATCCCAGCCCTCTATGAAGTCTTTCCTGAGGAATCAGTCCCTTTGAGTCTGTCTCTTCCCTGAATGTCTGAAGCATCACTAAACAAGTCAACTTTGTAAACTGTCTTTTCCACCTCAGTTAGACTATAAGGGCATGTTCCTTATCCATGCCTGTGCCCCCCCCCCCCCGATGAAGTCAGCAAGGTCTTCCTCCTCTGAGTAACACAGCAAGGTAGCTCCTCCTCCTCCTCGAGTAACAGCCTCCACATCACTCCTCTGAACCCTTCAGACTCTCCCCAGTGGGACAGGAGATAGCAAAATGTAAACAGCCAAATAATAAATAGTTTAGGCTTTGTGGGCCGCACAGTCACTTCTGCAACTATTCAACTCTACAGCAATAGCGGGGAAAGCAGCCACAGACAGACAACACGGAAATGCATGGGCATGTCTGTGTTCTGGTGAAACTTCATTTACAAAAGAGGCGGTAAACAAAATATGGTATATCCATACAATGGAATATTATTCGGCCCTAAAAAGAAAGGAAATCCTGTCACATGCCATAACACGAATGAACCTTGAGGACCTCATGCTAAGTAAAATAAGCCAGTTACAAACAGACAAATACTGCATGATTCAATATACATGAGGTATCTAAAGTTGCCATGTTCATAGGAGCAGAAAGTAGAATGGTAGTTACCAGGGGCTGAGGGGAGGGGGAAAGGAGCAGCTGCTGGATGGGTATTGGCTAGAGTATCAGATTTGCAAGATTAAGTTCTGGAGATCTGTGTGTTAGGGTGGTAATGGAAGCTCAGCCCCAAGAATCCCAGGAATGCATCAAAAGGTAACAGGATGGAGAATCAGTGTATTGCCACCTTCTAACGGGAAATCCGCTGCCTGCGTGCTCACTGGGCAAGGCTAACTGACAGGATGAATCCAGCAGTCCTCCCACTGAGAGGCAGAAGCAGATAGGAGCAGCAAGGCCAGCCCAGCCCACACAGAGATGCCATGTTCTCCCATGCTGTTTGGTCAAAGTACCCTCTTCCTCCCACTGGACTAAATGGCTTGTAATCAGAATTTAATGAGGGCTGACTGGGTGTCTGGGGCCACGTAACTTTAGAAGCAGCTGGACTATGGAGAAAAATGCTGTGCCACGGACACCTAGGGTAAACTTTCTGCCGATCCTTTTCAAATCAAGGGCGATTTCAAGGATGGTCAGCACATGTGGCTTTCACATGTTCTTCACTTTGGTTAAGGCTGTGGCTCACTGAGAGTTGTCTAAGACTTACATAACATGAAGGACCCACCACCAGAGGATCTGACCTCAGTAAGATGACATTTCTGGACCATGAGGCTACAAGAGGTTATGATTTTTCGTGGTGCCTTTTGTTATAAGGACAAAGTAAGCATGTTGGTGAAGTACAGATAAGCCACAAGCAGCTCATAAGGAAATGGTGCAAATGCAGACCTCACACAAAGAGCTCAGGGGTATTTCAGAGGAGAAGGACAGCTGGGAACACGGGTGGAATCCCACCCGTTTTCATGGGCCTGGCCTGGCAGGAACATTCAATGGCTACATTGTATACAAGTTTCAATAAATGAGAAGTTTATTGCCATGTAATACATAGGAAGTATAACAGCTTTGTAATTTGTATACTGTTTTTTTCTTGTTCTAAAAGTAATACTCATAGAAATTTTGGAAAATAGTGACAAACATAGGAGGGAAATCAGTCATGATCTTATAACTCAGAAAGAATAAGTCAATAGTTGTGCTTTTGTGCAATATTTAATTGGAATCAGATTATATAAACAGTTTGGGTACACTGTTGAAATGTATGCTCAAATGGCAAATGCCTGTAAATACTAACCTTGAAAAACATCCCAGAGTGCTCTGCGCCAC